GAGAGAGAGAGAGAGAGAGAGAGAGAGAGAGAGAGAGAGATTAGATGTCTCATTTATGGCCGAGTAATCCACAGTTACCTATTCCGTATGCTTTGAACAGTTGTGAGTTCCTGTATTAACCACCATCTACCTCATGAAGTTTATCTGATTAGGGATGAGGGTTGCACTTGTCTATAAATATAAGAATAAATATTTAGAAGTCAGGTTGACACTAAATCCTCTTAACAAAACAGTACTAGTAGGTAGGACCTGTGACCTTTACAGCCATGAATTTTGGCTAGCTCTACAGTACCAGGTTTGAGTTCCCTCCTGTGGAGCAGGCCTTAAGTCCAATTACAACATTGTTGGTTATCCCCATAATAGCCATGCCACTACTGTATCCGTGGACATAGCTTACTCATCTGGGCATTGTAGCGTTCAGGGGTCACAGCTGGGTAAGACTGTTAATGGCTTTTCTTCCCACTCAGTCTTCAGAGCACCTTCTGGCACTATGAAAGTAGGCAATCTTTCCTGTTCTTAAACAGACTAGTGCCTGTCTTGGGGCATTTACCTTTGTGTTTTTCTCTCCTCAGTGGCTTCAGGTGTGTTCCATTGCCCCCTTTAGATTTGCTCAGATGTTCTATTCCCAGTCGTTCTTTTCCAAGTCAGTATGATTTGGAGGCAATTTTCTTGTCATTTCATTTTTATGTTATCTTCCTGCCTCAAGACTCTTCATAAGGCTTATGATTCTGGACATAATAGACATGCTTAGTTACTTTTTATTGTTGATTTGTCCTTTGGGGTTTTGTTTGTTCTGTGTGAATCTGCAGAATCAGGATCTTTGCTTGTAATACAGTAGTTATTCAGAAAATATCTGTTAGGAGAATGAATACTTGAGTCTTCCGTATTGTCGTTGGAGTGATCTTTCTCAGTGAGTTTTTGAGTTCTTCCTGTTTTTTTACACTATTTAAGGGATCCATTGCATTTGTCTAAGGAATGAGGACAGCATGCTAAGTGGGCTGCTCATTCAGTGACTTGGCTGCTTTGCCAACCTCGTTGCCTCAGCTCTGCCGAAACCCATAGCTCTCCTCATACTTATTGGTGCTAGCACACATTAAAATTTGTCTGCTTTAGAAATGCCTAGAATGTGTTTTCTCTCATTGGCTTGCTCCTCTGGGCCCCATTCTGCTAGGCTGCTTTCGTGGCCCTCTAAGCTGAAGTTGCTTGCACCTCCCAGTCTGCTTCCATGACACTAGCAAATACTCAAGACTCTGACCTGTCACAGTTGCCTTGCAATTTATTTTTAGCTTTCCAATTAGTGCTCGAACTCTAAGTCAGGGACTTGTTCAGTCTTCTACTCTGACTTCCTAACCTGGAACCTGACAGATAATAGATACTTTAATTCATGAGGAATGAATGGAAAATTAATTAGTTATGAATTTATTAAGAGATCACCTCTAGGCTCTTCTCTCCTGATAGGGCTACATATATATATATATATATATATATATATATATATATATATATATATATATATATATATATATGTGTGTGTGTGTGTGTGTGTGTGTGTGTGTGTATATATACATATACATATATACACATATATATTTCTTATATATATTTCATATATATATATAAAAGAAATAATCCTTTAAGAGGGAGAAAAACATTATTTTTGTTCATTTCTTATGAGATCTTTTGTATTTTAAGCAGTTGAAGTACTAATAATTATGCTTATATGAAAAACCCTTTAAGTGTGCTTTTAACTTGCATAACCATGGTAACCAAGGGAATGTACTTCACATTCTCACCCTCCTTTCTGCAAGATAAAATTGCAGTCAAAAATTTGATATTACAGTGTTAAATACACTAGTACTTTTTAAATTAAAGTATATTCTGAATTTTTAACTGACAGTCTCAGAGCAGGAGTTATTGAGCCCTTTATTGAATATAAAAATTGCTCAACATATAACTTAGTTCTGGTGTTTTTAAACACTAGATGTTGTAAAGAATTTGGTGCTGTCCAGTGAAGGAATTTCTTCTTCAAACCTATGAGGAACCTTCAGATTTTGCTGGGATGAAGTGGGAAGCACAATTAATACTGGCTTCCAAGACTGAGATGTGTTCTAGAAGGTTACCTCAGTTTATTGGGACTGTTAGAAGAATCATGTTGGGCTGGAGAGATGGCTCAGCAGTTAAGAGCATTGTCTGAGTGCTGAGTTCAATTCCCAGATTGTGGTGCCTCACAACCATTTATACTAGAATCTGAAATGCCCTCTTCTGACAAGCAGGTGTACATGCAGATAGAGCACTCATACATAAAATCAGTCTGTCTTTAAAAACAGATAAAAAAAATTATTTTTTAAAAAAGAAGAATCATGTTAGGATCCATTTGTCAGACCTTCCATGATTAAAATAGGAACTTTTCAGAGTCTGAGATACTAAGGATGGGGATTCCTGAATTCTCTGCTTTCTGGCATAATTACAAGTAAATGCTTAGCCACAGTTCCACCTTCTTTCTTGTATGCCACTTAGCAAGTATTCATGTCATTTGCTGCCACCTTTCTCTTCCACCTTGGTGTCATAACCTTACTGTAGAACTTTGTCTTTGGGGGGAGACTGATGAAGTAGCTTCTGTTTCTGGTCTCTGTTGTGTCTCTGTCCTTCTTTTCTGTACTATTGCCAATCAGGATAGACCTCAGGATGGTGAAATTGTAGTTGTAAAATCCTATGACAGCTTTGCACATAGTGCTCTCGCCTTTTAAAAATGAGCCCAAAGTCACTGATGGAGTCTTTTGTGGGCCATGGTTGTTTGAGAGCAGGCCTGTTGAAGGAAAGCTTAGAGTGAGGCCTCTCACACCTCACATTTCTTTTGCTTTTATGCCTTTGTCCATTTTCTCCTGCTCATGTCACCACTTTAAGCCATGGTATCATTTGTCAGTGCATTTTTTAAAACTCATTTTAGCATTAAATTACACAGTTATTTGTAATTAAAATTTATGGTTCTTTATATTTAAATATTCTCTATGTCGAGAATGCATATTTATTGAAACAAGGAGCCACCAAATGTTTGCGTGGAAATGAGTTCTTTGAAAGTTGTTAAACAGGAAAAAAAAGTCTATGCTGTAGATGTTGGTCATATTCATGACCTAGTCTTGACAGGGCTGTATAGCTCATATTGTAGCTGAAGCATGACGCTAGTGGCAACAGTCCATCACCTCATAAAATGCTTGAGGATGAGGTTGTTAATGCTCTTTTTGGGGGACTCACAGAGTTCTCCTCATATCTTAGACATGTTCCCTCATCCATTTTGAATCCTTTGTTATTTCCTAAGCTTCCTCTTGCCCCCAAGGTGTTCAGGATCACTTTGCCTCATCCCTCTTTGTAACAGTTTACTCTGCCTTTCAGTGCCTTCTCAGAGGTCAGATAGCTTCAAAGGGCTTCATTCCTCTGGCTTTGCTAAACCATGCTGTTGGTAGGAGTTGTGAACTAGGTCAGTAATAATTTGATTCATTAAAATTGTGTTAATGATTCTGTGAGTGTGTGTGGCTGCTTTTATTGCAGGGAAGCCTCTGGCTCATGTGTCACTTTTTGGCACCCTTGTCATCTCTGTCATATATGGGGCATCCTCATCACCTCTGTCATGTGTGTGGCACCCTTATCATCTCAGCCATTTGGGGAACACCCCCTTCTTCTGTTTTTTGTGGGGCACCTCTATCATGTCTGTCATTTGTGGAGTACCTTCATTATCTCTGTCACTTGTTGGGTACCCCTGTCTCAGTCATTTGTGGGCTACCCCATCATCTCTGTCACTTGCTGGGTACCCTACCATGTCTATAATGGGGGGGGGGGGGGGGGGGGGGAGGCAGAGTTCTATTTTTCTGGCCTGTGCTAAGTGCTGCAGAATCATTTTAGAATTTAATCCTCAGAACAGTTTTGAGGGGAGGGTGCTGTTAGTGTCATCTTAAGGGAATGATGAGGAAACGGATTTGAGAAAATAATTAGTCAGTGTAACATGGCTAGTAACATTCTGACTTGTCTAACTCTACAGCTAGTAAGTATTGATGTTTTACTCTGCTGCCTGCCAAGAGACTTTGAAATTCAAGTCAGCTCTGTGTTAGCAACTGTGTTGGTGAGATTTGGTTGGCAAGTGTAAGGAAAACAAAAGGAAATTATTCTAACAGTATTAAGGAAAGGGTTCCAACAGTAGTCTACTTCTGAGATAATAAACTAGTTGACATCTCTGTGGTCAGCAACCTAAACTGCCCACAATTCCTTTTTTCTATTTCAGAAACCAGAGATTTGCATAGAGCTCTAAGCATATTCAGAATATCCTAACAAGTCAGCTGTGTGAAGAAGAAAAGCGAGAATAGTCAATTGTACGTAAGGGCTATTTGTGAGGCAGGTGTGACCTGCACTTAGAACAGCCTTCCCCACCCTACCTCCTACCCCATCAAAGTCTTCAACTAAATTTAATTGATAAATGATTTCTATAGATTAGAAAAAACTATCTTAAGGCTATTTTAAGTATAAATTGGATTCTGTTCATTTTTATTCATAACTCATTCCTTGCGCATATTTAAGTGTGGCCTTGGTCCCTCAGGAATAGTGAATTGTGCTGTGACATCCACCTACAGGGACATTAACAAGTTGAAGTGAGACTCTTAGCAGGCTGTTTTTGCCTTTTCATAGGCACAGTCCTTGGCAGCCTCGCTTTCTACCCGTCAGCTGTTGCGGATCTCTCGCCGATTGTCGCAGTATCCCAGTGAAAATCTTCATGATGCTATTACTAAAGCCTGCCTTTCCAGGTAATCCTATTCCCCTTTTGCCGGAGTCAAAGTCTCTGATCCTTTGCTAGAATGGTACAATGAGCTTAATTGATCGTCTCTGTTCACAGTCTGTAAGAAGTATTGTATTAACCACATAGGTGTTTCAGCCTGCTATCAGTTATTAGAACGTACTTCATGTAATATATTTATTCTGGCATAAGAGCAATTATTTTATTATTATTATTATTATTATTATTATTATTATTATTATTATTATT